CAAAAAAAAAATACACACACACACACACACACACACACACACACACACACACACACCTCTCCTCCTTTAAATTGCAGATGTCAGGAATCTTGTCCAGCTACAGGAAAGCTAACCAATACAAGAGATTATGTCTTACCTGTGTCTCCTGACCTAGTATAATGCCTGCCTCAAATGAAATAATCAATAAAATGTGGGTTGAATAATGTTAAATTCCTTTTTAAAACAATTTTGAATTGAAACTAGTCTTAAAAAATTGATGTGTTGGTGTTCTAAAGAGACTCATTTTGGGGCTGGGGATTTAGCTCAGTGGTTCTGCCACCTTCCTCGAAACCTCAAGATCCCGAGGAGTTCAATCCCCAGTACCAAAAAAAAAAGAGACTCATTTTGTTTTGGTTTTGAGATAGAGTCTTACCATGAGCTCATGCTGACTTTGAACTCACTATGTAGCCCAGGCTGGACTCAAATTCATAGTGATCCTCTTGCCTCAACCTCCCAAAAACTAGGATTATAGGCGTGTGTCACCAAACCAAGAAATAAGGAGTGTGTGTGTGTGTGCGTGTGTGTGTGTGTGTGTGTGTGTGTGTGAGGCAGGCATCGGAACCAGAGCTAAATCCCTGGCCCAAGGATTCATTTTTAAGAGAAGCAGAAATATTGAATTAAGGACTCAAGAGAGATTAGAAGTTGATGTAAAGTACAAGAAATGGACCCTATGTTCTGGCTGATGTTCACCATTTCTAGTACTTTGATTCCATAGGAAATAAAGCATGTAGGAGAGTGCTGTGACAGGCACTTCAACTTATACAAGTGTAATATATCAAAGGACGAGAAAGTATTTTTCATTAAGCTCTGATACTGTACTTCTCTTTTCCTTTTCTTCTTAGTTGATGTTCCTTTAGCTGATAAATCACTAAGAGAAGCAGACAAAAAAATCAACTTGCCCGATTTCCTCTTTGAATATTTTAAAACTGGAACTTAGTCAACTCTGTTCAATTTATGAAGGAAAGGAAATATTTGAAATATACGCACAAAATACAAGAACTACTATCACAGTATCTACTAGGCAGATGAAACTAAGAATTATATATTTTTAGCTCTCTAGAAATAGGCACTCTCCTTAAACAAGAAAGTTTATTATTTAACTTTTGTGGATAACTTTAGAAGTATTATATATAAAAGAAACTGCATGTGTCCATACCCTTGTTTTTGAAATAAGGAAAGGCTTATCTCTGCTGAGAGCTTAACTTACTCTAAACCCCTTTCCCTCTCAATTAGTATGATTAGTCAATTATATTAATTATATTAAAATTTTTAAATATTCAATTATGTAGTTATAATGGTTAACAGCCCACTAGATGTTTAAATTGTCCTTAGTTTTTCAATATTATAAAGTATACTGATGGACTTTTGTTCCCTTTATATCCTTAAATAAATTTCCAGAAATAAAAATTTCTAGACACTGCTTTTACAACTTGATTTTGTCTTGATGTGGTTTGAAGAGAGTATTTTTATACTCTGTATTTTCCTCTTCTCTTCCTTTACATATCATAAATGGTATGTAAAGAACTATCAAACATTAATTTTCTTTATAGTGAGAAAGAATGAATTTCTAATAAAAATGTAATTTCAACATTAAATACACAAGACAGAGAAGTAAGTCATAGTTCAAAAAGGGCAAAAAAGCAACAACATAATAATAATGGCCAATCATTAACTTGGTATCTTGAAATAGTCACAAACTAACTGTAGGAGCTGACCATTTTCGAAATGTAATTATTGTCACCCCCACCCTGCCCCGACTAGCTACCGAGAGTAAATTAAATTCACCAGATGCTCACCTTCAGAAATGCTGGAGTCATGGAACATGGTTTCAAAAGCTTGATGGGTTTCAGCAAAAGAGGGCCTGTCCGCAGGGCTCCACTTCCAGCCTGTATGACAGATAAAAGAGAGTATTGACAGAATTATGTATACCCAGCAGCATACTAAAATCATGTATGCTCATTAGTTACAGTATGTTCATTATGGTAGCGATGCAGCTGCTTCTCAGTTCTAGACTCAAAAATAGAAGAACTCACTTCCTAAGGCTGGTCCTTGGTTCCCATTCCCTTTACCATAAGGATGAGGAGAGGCAAGGAAATGATTTTTTACAATGGCAAGGTTTTGGTTTTTTTTAATAGAAATGAAGTTAGACAAACCTGCCCTCATATAAAGTCTGACTTTACAATAAAGAATCAAGTGTATATATCTATAATTTATTAGGGAATCAGAAAGAAGACGCTTAGAATTCCCACTGACAAAAGCCAATGCTCAATGAGAAAACAATATAAAACTTACATTCAAACACAACTGCAATTTACTACTGAACTTCCTAGTTTTTCATCTTCTGGCAGTCCAAAGCTTTTGTTTACTTATCACAGAGGTTACTTTTATGCATTCTCCATAGTCTTTAGCAATCATTCTTATTTAGTTGAAAGTATACCTCTCCTACCTTAGTATGCAAATCCAATTTCTTAGCACCTTATTATAATATACAAATGTTTTTAAGAAACTGGATAAATATTTGGGCCACAGACAACTACTCTTAGGATTCCAATAAGATTCAATGGTGTATCATGTACTATGGCTGATCAATGACACACTATTTAAACATCACGAGGTTAAATTCAATCTAACAGTAAGAGAAGTGTTTCCAATTTTGCTAATCATCCCGACTCGCTGGTGTTTCAAAATTAAAATATGCAAAAATACTCACATGCTCTCATAAGTTCATAAACCTTAGGAGGACATCCCTCAGGCTGCTCCATTCGATATCCTTTTTCCAGCAGATCATAGACCTGAGACAGGTCAATACCTGGATACGGTGACATTCCATATGTAGCAATTTCCCACAACAGTACCCCAAAAGCTGCATAAGGGATTAAGAAAAAAGAAAGCCTAATGTTTCATCTGATTTTTTATATCATTAGATACCTTGTCTTTAAAATTCTGGATCACAATCAAACACTGTTACAATATTAACATACCCTTCTACCAATTCTTAGCACAACATGTCTCTCTAAGATGTGTCTCTCACAGGAATGCTATAGAACATCTCAAGACAATTTTCTGTAAACATCCCAATTTTACTATAATCAGGGAAAATACACTGCGATCATATAAAAAGTCTGTGGCATAATCCAACTAATCTTAGAACAGTCTTTGATCTATTTCATGAGTTGTTTGTTTTATTTTGTTTTTGTTTTGAGACATGGTCCTGCTGTATAGTCCATTCTGGCCTTGAACTCATGGTGATCCTCCTGCCTTAGCCTCCTGCGTTCTGGGATTATAAATGTGTGTCATCACACCCAGCTAAGTTTCATGATTTTTGTTTGTTTGTTTGTTTGTTTTGCTTTGTTTTTTGAGACAGGGTCTTACTGTATATTCAGGCTGGCCTTGAACTCACTATGTATCCCAGGTTGGCTTTGAACTCACTGAGATCTTCCTGCCTCAGTTTCCCAAGTGCTGGTTTATGATTATAGTTACATATGTTATTTCAAAGTTAGCTAATTACATTTTCATGATTTCAAAGTCAGCTAATACCAGAGGAGTAAAATAAAAAACTGATTCATTTAAAATCAGGTAAAATTCACAGCAAAAAAAAAAATTTGCTTAATTTTGTCAAAATTCTATTAACTCTGAATTTGAGCTTTCTGGTAAAAAATGACTTAGACTTCTGTAACTATTTCTATTTTTCCATAACCCAAATTTCCTGACTTGTCCAATTTATTAATCTTCTACGAAGTCATTCTGCTTCTCAGCAGAATAAACAAGATCAGCTACAAAGATAAACTACCATAATGCTTTCCTGGAACAAAGTTTTCTGTGTTACTGTGCTTTGCAAATGAGCAATACGACAGTGTGAAAAGTAGGGAGCTTTAGAGAAAGAATCATTAAAACTCAATTTGAGGGGCTGGGGATTTAGCTCAGTGGTTCCACCACCTGTCTCACAAGGACAAGGTCCCGAGTTTGATCCCCGGTACCAAAACAAAACAAAACAAAAACTCAATTTGAGATATAGACTGTGACATCTTTGAAGGCACAGACTTTTTACTGACATGGGATCTTGCTATTTGCCCAGACTAGTCTTGAACTTGTGACCTCAAGTGATCCTCCTACTTCAGCCTCGTAAGTAGCTGAGACTACAGCCATATGTCATTATGCCCAGCCACAATACTTTTTTGATCTTCATACAGAAAGGAAGCTCTAAAGAATTAAGGCATTTATGGCTGAGTATAGTGGCACACGCCTGTAAGCCTGTAATAGTACGCAGGGGGCTGGGGCAAAAGGATCACTGCAAATTCAAGGCCAACCTGAACTACATTATAAGACCCTGTCTTCAACCCCTCCACCATGAAAGAACAGAATTAAGGAATTTATAAAGACAATATAAACTGGGTGTGGCTGCATACACCTATAATCCCAGCACTCTGAGAGGTCAAAGCAAAAATATTTCAAATTCAAGCCCAGCATGCATAATTTAAGGAGATCCTGTCTCAAAATAAAAAAAATAAGAAAGGGGTGATGATATAGCTCAGTGTGAAGGCCCTGAGTTCAATCACCAGTACCAGGGAGGGAAGGAGATAGAAAAAGAGAGAGGCACGTGCAGAGGAAGGAAGGACAGAAAGAAGGAAAGAGGTAAGAAAAGAAAAAAACAACAACATATGAAGGAAGTCCCTTACAATCTTACCCCAGACATCTGATTTAATTGAGAAGGTATTGTAGGCAAGACTCTCTGGTGCTGTCCATTTAATGGGAAATTTGGCTCCAGCATGAGCTGTGTAGGTATCTCCAGTCATCAGTCTACTTAAGCCAAAGTCAGCTACTTTTACCACATGGTTTTCTCCCACTAGGCAGTTACGTGCTGCAAGATCTCTGTGGGAAAGAAAACCCCAGTGTGATTCCATTCAGACGGTAAGAAAAATGGTCATGAATACTCTATTCTTGGTTCTCTGTGCTATAAGCAGAGTTGCTAAGTGCTGACAAATGTAGTATTTTATGATAATCACTAACATGGTAGAAAGCCACTAATTTATATCATTTGTAGAATACTCATCAAGAGGCAGTTATGTGATGCAAGAATAAAATAAGTTCCTCTGTATAAGTACACTGGGACAGAGGAACAATAGATACTTTTCTACAAGGCTTTAAACATTTTAGTTTTACTAAAAGAATGCTATTTTTAAATTTCAGCCACTAGATGGAGCAAAAGTAACTTGGATACAGTGCTGGGCAAAACAGCTTTCAGTACTGAGGGAAAAAAAAAGTCTCTCCTTACTTAATACTTCTATCAGAAAAAGAAGTCTAAAGGTTGGAAATAACATTATAATAGGCCCTGTGAAATAAAGAATTTCTTTCTTTCTTTTTTGGGGGGTACCAGGGATTGGATTCAGGACCTTGCGCTTGCAAGGCAGGCGCTGGAACCACTGAGCTAAATCCCAGGCCCAAGAATTACTTCCCTAAATCATCTGAAAATTTCTGAGGAGGTTTTCTTTCCTTCATCTTTTTTTTTCTTCCCTTTATTTTTATGTCAAGCAAGATGGCTTTGCAGTCAGTCACAGGCAATAATCAGGTTTTACACACCTATGGATGAAATTTTTCTTCTCTAAATACTCCATTGCAGAAGAGATCTGAGTGGCCATGTAAAGCAGTACAACTGCAGTCACCTCTTCTCGGTTGCATTCTCGGAGATAATCAAGCAGATTCCCGTATGGCATGTATTCAGTCACAATGTAAAATGGTGGCTCCAAAGTACACACACCTGGCAGAACAGAACTTGTTTTATCAGCAGATATTCAAATATTCCAAACCACTCTGGCCAAGAATAATTTGACAATGTTCAGGTCCAGTTTGCCAGTAATTTTATCCCCTTACCACCATATTCTCTGAAAATAATATATAATGTAGTAAAAATTAAGAAGTTGGTTGATAGGGGATTCTTTGCTTCTATTCTAGTGTTCTCTAAAAATTCATATGCCTTTGAGTATTTGCCTGCTTGAAGAAAAGCAGAGTTACCTATATTAATTCTGTAAGGTTACTAAAACTTAGTGCCAGAATACTAAAATTTCCAGTTCATACATGCCCATGAGTCCCCTCCTCAGCTGCATGCTGATAATGACTATCTGAAAGTAAAAACAGCTGTGCATATGTCAAATACTATGGGAGCCCTGCCTGTAGTAATGCTTATAAAAATATTTTAACTATTTCTGTAGACAAGGATTTCACTCATAAATGACAGTTGCTTACAAAGAATCAATAACAAACCATTTCCTTTGAGACAGTTTGGCTCAATGAGAACATTCAAAGAAACTGGCCCATTTTGAAAAAGGCTTAGTCAAAGGTTTCTCTGCGACCTGAACAGATAAGTTAATCTATTCCAGTAACAGCATTTCCTGCTTGCTTGGTGCTTGGGAAAACTGATGGCTGTGGTCACAATTTCTAATCTGCTTCTTTTCTATTGTAGAATAATCTCTGCATTTTGTGAAAATGTTTTGTACCATTTTAAATGCTTCTGAGCTTTGATCTCCATAAGTTGGAGTTTTATATATTGGAATCAACACAGGCCATTGTTTTTATGTTTGAAACAGAGCTGATTAAAATTGTGGGGGGGGGCAGTACTGTGGATTGAAACTATGGCCTTGAGCATGCTTGGTGAGCACTCCACTCTACCACTGTTATTTGATGTCCTTTTTGTGGTGCTGGGAAGCGAACAAGGGCTTCACTTATGCTAGGCAAGTGGCCTACCACTTGAGTACATCTTCAGCCCATGACAACTGTTTAGTGAAGTTGATTTAAACTTGGGAGTTTCCACTGTGATTCAAAAGACGAACTTGAAGATAAGGTGCTAAGGGACAAACATCTTTAAGGAAATCGATAGTTCCAGCTTCCTTACCTAATAGTTGGACCAGATTAGGATGCTTGATTTCCTTCATCACTGCAGCCTCTTTTAGAAACTCCTCCACCTCCATGGTATCTTCCTAGAAAAAGAATAAGGTAAGAAAGAAAAAAACAAGAAGAATATGCCCCCTTCTTAATCTCCTGACTCAGCTCACAATCCTACAACTTCAATTTTAAAAGTGAAAGGAAGTATCTTTTAATATTTAGCAAATAACTTTTTCTTTCCCGCATCTATTGAGATACTCATGTAATTTTTTTGTCCTTACTTTTGCCTATGCGGTGTATTACATGTACTGATTTGCATATTTTGAACCATCTTCTCATCCCTGGGATAAAGCGTACTTGGTCCTTTTTGGTGATTTGTTGCATTCTGCTTGTCAGTATCCTGTTAAAGATTTTTTTTTTTTTAATCTATGTACCAAAAGATTGGCTTGTAGTTTTCTTTCATTTGGGACTCTGTCTGGTTTTGGAATCAGGGTAACGGTACCTTCCAGGAATGAGTTTAGAAGTACTTCTTCCCATTCAATTTCATTAAAGAGTTCTGCAGTATATTGGTGTTTTATCTTTCATTAAGTTCTTATAGAATACATTGGTGAATTCACTGGGTCCTTGGAATTTCTGGTCAGTAAGTTTTTTATTACTGCTTCAATTTCACTGTCTGTTATTTGACTATGGTTTTTAATGTCTTTTTGGTTCAGGTTTGGTAATTCATATGTGTCTAGCAATCTGTCCATTTCTTCTAGATTTTTTGTTGGAAATATGATTTTTCATAGTATTTACTAGTGATCATCTGGATTTGGGCAGTGTTCTCCACTGTGATTTCTGTCTTTTTCTTTATTGGACAGAGTCTTGCTAAGTAGTACAGGCTGGCCATGAACTTGTGGTGATCCTCCTGGCTCTGCCTCCCAAGTGCTAGGATTATAGGCATGCACCACCATACCTGGCCATTCATTTTTAATTGTATTGATGTGGATCTTTTATTTCCTTCTTTTGTAAGTTTGGCTAAGTGTCTATTTTATCCTTTCAAAGAAGCAGCTCTTCAACTCATTGTTTCTTTGCATTGTAATTTTAGTCTCAATTTCATTAATTTGTGCTGATCTTTCTGATTTCCCTCATTGTACTAGGTCTGGGTTTGGACTGCTCTTGTTTTACTAGGACCTTGAGGTGGTGTATCATTAAGTTGTTTATTTGAGCTTGGTCTCCTTTTCTAATGTGAGCATTCACAAAAAAACTTCACTCTTAGGACTGCTTCACTGTATCCCATAGATCCTGGTATGTTGTACTGGCATTAGGGTTTGATTCTATAAATTATTTAATTTCTTCCTTGATTTCTTCTCTGTGATCCACTGAGTGTTCACGAATGTGTCATTTAATATCTGTGAATGTACAATTTCTGTGATTTCTACTGGAATAGTTTTTTTAGTTTC